GACACACACACACACACACACACACACACACGCATACACACCGTCAAAACAAACAGAGCGTCCTACCTTCCTCCTCAAGCTCTTCAGTCGTTAACTCCTTCTCCTTCTCATTCTCTCCGTGTTTCTTTTTCTCTTTCCCTTTGTTCTTTCCCTTTTCCGAGCCTTGCCGGGGCTTCAACATTCGAAGTTTGGCGCCACTCTCTGAGGACCAGAAGACAAAACAATAAGAATAACGTGCACAACATCCTAACATCATAACAGAACAACAACAAAACAGCAGAAAAGTATCACAGTAAAACAGCACAACACCACAACAGCCTAACAGTATAGCATCATAACAGCGTAAAAATAAAATACCAGAACTGCATAACACCTTAAAAAGCATAACATCAGTTTTAGAAAAGGATTAAAAGGAAGAAACGAGAACAGTTGATTTCGTTTACAAAGACCAACAATTCAGAAAACCTAGATAATATTATATACGTTCTCAGGTCACGATAGCAGGTCGCAAAGTCTAAAATCCTGAAGATCACAGAAACAAACACATGATGTCAAATGTGCCACTTGCAGAAATAATAGTTTCAGAGACTTATTGTTTTGTTGTTGTTTTTTGTTTTTATACGTGTTTAGAGTTCTTAGAAGTTTGTGTGTTGTAATAATAATGAAAATAATAATTGCATTTATATTGCACATATCTACACTTTACAGCATGCTCAAAACAATCACTTTACTGATCGGCTATTACAGCACACTTTAAGTGGTTGTTTTGGACAGGTTTAATATTGTTCATGTCATCATTGTGCCAGGCAATGTATATTGGAAGAAAACGACATTGGTTAGAACATCATTAGTTTAACCAGTCGTCTTTTCTTAAGAATCAAGTAGACAGATAAAGATGTAACAATTTTTTAAAATCTACTGGTCAACATAGATCAGAGACAAAAATTTTAATGCAAGAAAAAGAAACAATGGTTTCTTTTTTTTAAAAAAACAATATTAAAAAACATTCCAAGAATATCCTTACCCCTATCGGTGCGCCCTGGGGTCATATTGTACCACGGTGTTGTATTTTTCACATTTTAGAATACTTCCAGTGCGAAGATCCCTTTGAAACTTACAGTATTTCTAAAAAAATCATTTAGACAGACTGCTATGCAAAGCATACGGATCGGATTAACGAGTAAATTTCCTCTTTAGAAAATGGTGGCACAGAGTTCTCCACGTCGTATGGATACGATAGTCTATAACACGACGTATGGATAAGGTTACATATCACTTTCAGCTAGGAATTTATCAACAGTGTGGTTTTCTAGATGTGGAATATCACACGTATTTATTTTGTGATTAAAGATGAGATGCATGAACTAAGGAAAACACACACAAAAATACCCCCCCCCCAAAAAAAAAAAAACCAAAAAAAGTTTAATGTTCACAAAAACAGCTCCCAATAAGTGGTTATACCTCAGAAACTTCAAGGTATTTTCCCTGGTTCCATTGTCAATTTCAAATTCTTCAAAAATTTAATAGGCGTTCATTTAAAGAATCAAAGTTAACAATAACGTACGAAGTAACTGTTTAAAATGCCGCGAGAGACATTCTGACAGTCGTTTCTTCTGGGGGAAAACAAAATTTCTTATATAGAGGATATACTGCCGGTGCTTACTTTTCAATGAATTGTTGCTGTTGATTTACTGCTACATAATGGTGCTATTGATGATGATGATGATGATGATGATGATGATAATGATGATGATGATGATGATGATGATGATGATGATGATGATGATGATGATGATGATGATGATGATCTTTGTTGCTGTGGCGTCATCACCCATTTATTTTTTTCTCAAATACTATGTTCCTGATGAAGCCTTATTGGCGAAACGTTGAACTGTGAAATATATTATTTTTTTTGGAAATACAACAAGGTCTTAACTGTTTTAATACCTTCTTTATACAATGATGATGATGATGATGATGATGATGATGATGATGATGATGATGATGATGATAATGATGATGAAGAAGAAGAAGAGGACAAGATGATGATAACTGAGATGGGCAAGGCAGAAGAGACAACTACGACAACAAAAATATTATGCATTACAAGAAACAACCATGAAAACACTCGACTGTAACAAGCCTAATTTTATCTTTCATTTGAGCGTTATAGTGCGGTTAATTTTGCTGAAGTTTCGCAGCGAAGTTTTTAACATAGAGCAAAGAACAGCAGCCATGGCAGTCAGTGAGAGATCTAGGGTGGCGTCTAAAGGTCTATGTAGTATGACGTCAACAATACCCATCTACTTACGTCGGGATTCTCTCTTGATCCGGTTCACTGGTTTTAGCATGTCGGACGGAAACTCCATCCTCTCACAAGAATTATTCTTATCCAGGTCGAAAGTGGAAACTACTGATACCCAGAGCTAAAGACAAAGCAGTAGGCTAATTTTTCAGTGCTCATTTACACCACGATGAAAAACTTCAGAATTGTTCTGTGATAGGTATCATTCATGCTTTTATAAAGATGCTATTGCCAATACAGGTGCCTACTCAACTTAGTGTGAAAAAAATGCAGCCTAATTTTTAGCTATAATGATATTGATAATAAAAATTATGACAATGAAAACATTAATAATACTAACAACAATTATAATAACAAAACAACAACAACAACAACAACAACAACAACAATAATAACAATAATAATAATAATAATAATAATAATGACAATACTGATGTACCCACTCCCTGGTGGCTCTAGGAACTTCACATCAAAATAAGATTAAATCACAACACCCACAACAACAACAACAACTACCTTCAGCGTCCTTCCAGCCAGTACTTGCGTAGGCCTAAGACAACAATAACAACACCACCACCAACCAACAACAACAACAACAACAACAACAACACCACCACCACTACCACCAACAACAACAACCACACCACCACCACCACAAACAACAACAACAACAACTACCTTCAGCCTACTCCCACCCAGTATTAGCATAGGCCTCAGACAGAGCCATGGCTGTGTCCACCATCAACAACAACTACAACAACACAAACAACAACAACAGCTACCTTCCGTCTCCTCCCAGCCAGTGTTAGCGTAGGCCTCAGACACCACCACTCACAACACCACCACCAACAACAACACCACCACCAACAACAACACCACCACCACCACCAACAACAACAACAACAACAACAACAACAACAGCTACCTTCCGCCTCCTCCCA